TTGCATTCTCCATTTCACTATATGCAATACGGTAATAATAAACATAGGAAAATTGCTTACTTAAGCACATTAACACATATACTCATGTCATGGCCACACACACTTTCTCATGCTCATGCAATGCCCTAATTACTTTTCCAGGACGTCCTATAGCTCATTTGGACACGTGTGTGCGATATAACTCGTACTCTGATACTACTCTGCCACGACCCAAACCCGCCTCTATGGGTTTAGTATCGTAATCGGCCAATAATCCGTGATTACCAAAGGCCTGCTTAACAGTAAAGACAGTAATCTAGAGTAAGGGGCTGGCGGAAGCCAAACAATAAATAAAAGATGTCCAATAAGCTGTGGAAACCTGAAATGGAAAAGACTTCTATAGACAAAACCACATTCATAACCATAAACATATATACATATCAGATACACATAACATCAAGGTTAGGGACCTAATCCCCTCACCATAACTGTACAGTCAAATCTTAAACAGTCGAAACATAACAGAGACAAAAGGGTGAATCTAGAACAGCCAAAAACAGCCTTGGCTTGAGCAGACTCGGAACCTCGAAGTGAGGCACAACGGTTGGCTGGACAAAACATGAGCTTAACTCGACGCTCCTAGCTTCGGTCCGGTGCCTGGCCACCTAAATACATATATAAACAGTAAGCTAAAGCCCAGTGAATAACAACTGTGTAAAGGGGTTAAGAATGAATGTCCTTTCAGTAAATAAAACAGTCATTTGCATCAGTAGATCAGTTATTCAATCAATGGCTCATATTTCATGCCATATCAGTCATTCAGAAATCATAGCGATCATACGTGGTACATCCAATAGCAGAACATTATAATAGGTCTTAATAGACCGAACAGTCAGTTGATGGCCATCAAAACAGTAAACAATAGTAGTTCCAAACATTGGAACTGACAGAAATCTCTGTAACAGTAGTAATAACAGTCAGTTGCTATGGATCCCACGAGTACAGTTCATAAATTAGGACAAATATTCATTCAGTAAACAATATCATTTCAAAAAGCAGTACAGTTAATCATTCAGTAAATAATAATAATTGAACATAGCTTTACAATATTGTTACTCACAGATTACTGGGCTATAGTCAGGCTAACCAGCGTCCTCGGGTGCCAACCCTACACAGTTGCAGAACGAACACACGCTAAATTACACATTCGGGATTAACAACTTAGCCCCTATCTTAACTTGGTGTGATTCTATAACATTATCCTCATTAAGATACCTTAAACATGGCCTAGAAATGCCTAGGATGGAATGATGATGCAAAAAGGCATTTAACAACATTTTTCAAAATTTGCTGAAAATAAGGGTCTCGCTCGAGCGTGGCTTTCTCCGCTCGAGCTGACATACAAACAAAGAAGCTCCGCTCGAGCGTGACTTCCCTCGTTCTAGCGAACTACAAACTCATAAAAAAGTACTGGTTGCACGTTTTTCACGCTCGATGGACACTCGACCCACGATCGAGCGTGAGACTCAGACCCTCGCTCGAGCGCGGATTACCTCACTCGAGCGGACCTGCAAAACACATGAACTTCTGGGCATATGCATTTCACGCTCGAGCATGACTCTCGACACTCGAGCGGAAGTGCATGTGCTCAGAGTGTACGCTCAAGCGTGAAGTCCTCCGCTCGAGCATAGATCAAAAATCTGGAATTTCCAAGTTGATCCTCAAGCACAAAACTCAAGCTTAAAAGCTTCAAACTCGATTTTTCTGGGGCCAATTTTCTGGAAAACACTTAGAAACCCATATTACAACATGTTTTAAAGATCATTTTATAAAATCAAGCCCAAAGGTGTGACATTTGACCACAAATTCCAATGTAGACTTAAAGAACGATGCAAGAACATAACATGCATGAGTTCTTAAGAACTCTAATCCTCCAAAGCATGATCAAATGCAAGATTGAACTCAAAAACATGGTGAATTTCCATAGTATAACCATAACATGGACATGCATGTGGAAATTCACATGAAAATGATCTCAAGATTCAATGATATGGACATGCATGCAAACATTGTTTCTCAATTCAACTGTTTAGACTATTTCTTGACTCTAATCACCAATTTTTCCATGAACCATGCATATAACAACTTAAATTCACAATTAAGAGAATGAATTTCCTACCTTAAGTCTTGAATTCCAAGTGTGGTAGCTTAAACATGCAATTCTCCTTCAATTCCTCTAAATTTTCAAGTCAATCTCTAGATGAATTCAATTTTCCCCTATTCTACCTCTATCCCACGGTTTGGTCTTAAGGAGATGATAAAATGATAGTGCCAAACATGAAATCAAACAAATGGCCTTGAAAAGGCCCACTAATGGCAAAAGTGCAAATAACTCAAGTTAAAGTAATTTAACATTATTAATTCTAGTTTAATCATTCCAAATTGAATTTTAATTAACCCTACCATAAAATTATATAAATCCCAATTAGCATATAACACTAATCAATATCTGAATCGGTCGCCGATAAGGCTTTCAATTCGCAATTCGAAGTTAAAATATGAACAGATAATTCAGTAACAAACAGATAAAAATGCATTCTAAACAACACACTCACACAAACAACTTAGGATTTCATCATAATCGATTACTTATCATGCTTAAACACAAATTAACACTAATTAGAGGTGAGAGTTGTCACATTTAGGTTGGGAGTTAGAGCCGAAAACGCCTTAAACTTAATCGAAAAAGAGCGTTAAGGGGGCGAAAATGTGAAATAGCCCCCGAACCACCATACGGATGTCACGGCCGCCTTTCCCGTCACAAATAGGACCTGTGACAACAGACAAAATGTAATTAGCACACGTACTTTTGGAGTTGGAGCAAAAAATACATTAAACTTAATCGAAAAAGGACATTAAGGGGGCAAAAATGCGAATCAGCCCCCGAACCACCATACGGATGTCACGGCCACCTTCCCCGTGACATATAGAACTTGTGACAACAGACGGAATGTCATTAGCACACGTAGTTTGGGAGTTTGAGCCAGAAACGACTTAAACTGATTCGAAAAAGGGAGAGTTTGATATCCAATAAATGTTCAACATTTTCATTATAAATGATGTCATTGTTTCATCATACACGGTGGTCATTTGGGTGGTAAACGTATTAAAAAAGCATGATATGGTTATGGAGATAACCCTGTAGATTACTCAATGATTTTACTTTGACTAGGAAAATGAGAATGAAAAAGAGTTAAAATAAATTTACCACCAAAACATTCTACTCATAAAAATTTATTTTATGAAGAGGTATACTCCTAAAAATTGTATTATTTGTAAATTGAAATCAAGTTTGGAATAAATCTTTCATGATACATACATATGATTGTATTTCGAAAAAAAAAATTATAGATTGTTTTACCTTAAATGCATGTTATTACGACCTTTTTCTTATGCCTGAATGAATTGATATTTTGTAATGGGTGAAATTGTTTTTTATTTTTTGTAGATGGCTTTTGACGTGAACTTGTGGATAGTCTACATTTTTGTTTATGGAGGACACTTGACGCTTTTGTATAATCCTACTAGCTATGTCTTCCTTTGCTTTTGTGAATATTTGCGTTACTGATGCATATAACTTTTGTAATCCAACTGATAGTTGCTAGTGTGCCATATAGATCATCTTTTGTTGTGGTACAGATTATAATGGTAAGTAGTACCACGCCAAATGGCCATATCGCATAGTAGTAAATATATTTTTTGTATATGGCGGGTTGGATTTTTGTATGGAAATATAATTTTAGTTTGGATAATAGTTAGTTTGTATGGAATATATACATTTAAAGTTATTTATTTTTAGATGGCTGGAAGTAATATGGACTGTGACATGATTGATAATTTTACGTTGTGAAATGATGGTTATTATATGTATTGTTTTGTTTATATACGTGTTACAGGTTACAGGGAATATAGACAGGTTGTGAATAAATTATAATTTTGCGATGAAACATAAGAGCATGTTTTTGGCGGCTAAATTGTTAATAGCTAAAAAAAAATTCGGAAAATAGTTTTGGCTACTAAAAGTTTAGTAGCAAAAAAATAAAAATAAAAATAAAAATAAAAATAAATAAAAAACAAACATATAGTGACTAAAATATTTTGTAGCAAAAAACAATTAAAATATGTCGTAGCTAAAAAAATAAGCTGAAGAAATAAAAAAACTTTTGGCGGCTAAAACTTTAGTAGCAAAAAAATGTAAGACTTTAGGCGATCAAATGTTTAGTAGTCAAAACACAAAATGTTTGCCGACTAAAATCTTACTAGCTAAAAACATAAGACTTTAGGCAACTAAACCTTTAGTAGGCAAAAAAAATTTTGACTTTTGACGACTAAAATATTAGTAGTCAAAACATTGTTATTTACTTTAAGCCACTAATATATTTAGTAGCTAAAACTCTTTTCCGCGACTAAATGATTAGTCGTTAAAAATACTGAACTTTTAGCGACAAAAAAATTAGCCGCCAAAAATATAATATTTAATTTTATTTCAAACCTTTTGACGATTAAAAACTAAGTCAGCAATCAGTACATTTGGCGACTAAAATAATTTTAGTCACCAATGATCTTTCCCGACAATTCTTCCCCGACTAATTTTGCGATCAAATATTTTTGTCGTTAAAAGTTTTTGACGACTAAATAGTGACTTTTAACAATTAAAAATTTAATCGTCAAAAATAAAAATTCTTATAGGACAAGGACCCTATGTACGTGAATTGTTTTCACTTAACTTCTTGATGGGTACATGACTTGACACATTCCAATTTCCAAACCGTGTGGAATATCCATCCATGTCAATAATACTGTTAGTCTAAGAACTCTCAACTTGCACATATTCATCAATTAATCACCTGTCTTTAATGGCAACTAACTTTAAGCATCTCTGAAGCTTCCTAGTCAACTCATCCAAGTCATCGATGCATAATAATAAAAAAAAAAAAAAAAACTCTATTTAAACCCAAAACAAATCAAAACTTAGCCACAATTCCAACACAAAAACACAGCAAGAAAATCAACTATGGAGTTTTTCAACAAGGCCAAAGTTGTTAGACTCCGAAGCCACCTTGATAAGTACTTAATCGCAGACGAAAACGAAGAAACAGTCCGGCAAAGCCGAAATGCGACTTCCCGGAAAGCCCAATGGGCCGTTGAGTTTCCAGATGGACAGAATCACATTATCCGACTCAAGAGCTGCTACGGTCGATACCTCACCGCCTCCGACGTGCCTTTCCTACTCGGTGTTACCGGTAAGAAGGTAATTCAAACTGTTCCGGCGACAAATATGAATACTTCCATTGAATGGGAGCCTATAAAAGAAGGGTTTTTTGTGAAGCTGAGGACAAAATCGTCAGGTAAATTTTTGAGAGCCAATGGGGGGACGCCACCTTGGAGGAACACGGTTACGCATGATGTTCCTCACAGGACAGCGACGCAAGACTGGGTTTTGTGGGATGTGGATGTGATAGATGTGTCTCTATCGGCGTGTGAGTCGTTGCCGAGTTATGTATCGCCGGTGTCGAGCTTTTCTTCGAGCATTCGGTCGTTGTCGATAGTCTCTGATGGATCTGGGCATTCCAGCTTTTCATCAAGTCGAGATGATATTGCAGATTCCAAAGCCCGTTCGTTGTCGGTAGTCTCTAATAGATCTGCACAAGCAAGTGGAAAACAGGTATTCCTAAACAATTAAGCTAACTTTAAAGAATTAAACTATTCATGTTATGTCATTTTAATTTTTTTGATATTGAATTTTTTACTTTATTTCAAATTGATCATATTGATTTCAATTCTTAATATATATTTTTTTTATAACAAATGCCCACATGAACTATTAGTGATAAAATTATAAATTTAATTAATTCAGTGACTTTTAATCTTAAATAACTTGGTGATAGTTTTTTATCAAAAATATTTAAACAAGATTAACACAAAATTTAAAATAATTATCAAAATTCAACTAATTAAAACTATAGATATCAAAATAATACGAGTTGCAAAGGATGGTTGGTGTAATTTGCCTTAAAAAAATTAAAAAAAAAACTATCCATATGGCAAGGTTAAATAAATGCTGAGTCTAGAGCATTTGAATGCAGAATGGAATGGTGTTTTTCGACAAAGCGAAAGCCGTGAGACTGGAAAGCCACTTCGGAAAGTACCTAGTGGCTGATGAAGACGAAGAAACAGTCCGGCAAAGCCGAAATGCGACTTCCCGGAAAGCCCAATGGGCTGTTGAGTTTCCAGAGGGACAGAATCACATTATCCGACTCAAGAGCTGCTACGGTCGATACCTCACCGCCTCCGACGAGCCTTTCCTACTCGGTGTTACCGGTAAGAAGGTAATTCAAACTGTTCCGGCGACAAATATGAATACTTCTATTGAATGGGAGCCTATAAGAGAAGGGTTTTTTGTGAAGCTAAGGACAAAATCGTCAGGTAAATTTTTGAGAGCAAATGGGGGGACGCCACCTTGGATGAGAGCCAATGGAGGCACACCGCCTTGGAGGAACTCTATAACTCATGATGTTCCTCATAGAACTGCCACTCAAGATTGGGTGCTGTGGGGAGTAGATGTTGTGGATATATGTATATCGGATCATGTGGATTCGTTGTCCAGAAACATATCGTCGGCATCAAGCTTTTCTTCCTCGGTCGATGATTTCACAGGGTCTCCAGACACCGGTTCGCCGTCGGTTGTCTCCGGCGGAAGACAGGTACTGATAATAAATTAGAGTCCCACTTTCACATTGCAGACATATTAATAAACTAGGTTGGTTTAATGCTGAATAATTGTCAAAATTATTTTATTTGTGCAGTACAACTCTAAAAAATAGATAAATAAATAAAATATAAGTTTACTTTTTATTCTGTGCTACGAAACCATTAATCATGTGGTGTAATTATTAGTAATTTTTTTTTATATATTTTAACACCATCGACTTATTAATTAAAAATGATTTGAGTGGTAAAATTTCGAAAGACTGACTTTATTGGGGCCACTCTGATCCTACTTGTATTTTGTACCAAACTCAAGGTGAAGTCAATTACAATGTAGTAGGCCACTTGTTCTAAAAATTTGGTGGCCCAAATGTTAGACATTTCAGGGTGCAATAGGTTTGTTTAATCGAATTTCATGGTAGGTTTAGGACTCGATTAAAAATTATATATTTTAATTAAAATGTTATTATAAATTATTCTATTATTTTTTTATTTTTTATTTGTAAAAAATGTATAAAAAAAAAATCACTAAAATAATCTATTCTGAAATGAGATGTTAGAATCAAATTGAACTCTCCATTTTGTTGATTTAAAATGAAAAAAGAAAAATCATTATAAGTTTAGAAAAAAAAATTACATACAATTGATGAACTTTACAATAAGTAATATTAAAATTTTAAACATTTCTATATATTTGTAAATAATTTTTTAAAGCCACTAAATTGTAATTCTCCCATTTAAAAATCAAAATTGACGAGGTGTTATATGGTTCCATTATATATATTTATTTATTTACTCATTATTTAGTGTTCAAAATATAAAAATATTTAAGTATAATATTTGGATTAGTTAGAATATAAAAAATTTAAAATTGAAATAGACCTTATATTATAAAAGATGACAAAATAAATAAAAATTTCAATTCACCTCCTACAATTTAATTCCACCTTTTTTTTTTTTAGAATGTTATTATTTAAGTCCAAAAATTATACTTAATTTTTAATAGAAATTAATTGTGTGCTCATAACAAAATAAGTGATTGTTTTATGTGAAATATTAGAAGAAAAATATAAAATAATGATTATAGGACAAGTATTGGATATTTTTTTCACAATTCACTCCTAAACTCCTATAAGGTTGAATTTGTTATATGACGTCGGTATTTGGAAAGTTATTATTTTAATAGATTATTTTAGTTTTTAATTATTTTAAGAAATTAAAATTTTTGTATTTAGAAAACAAATTAGATTTTTTATAGTTTGATGTGATATTTATGAGAGAAAAAATAAAATAATTATGAATTTGATATGATATTTTATTTTATTAATTATTTTAACTTATTTTATCTTTTAATACTATTTTAATTCCCACAAAAAAATAAAAATTAAAAAGGTTCTTCCCAAACACTCCCGATATATCAGGGCACCACCAGCAGGACATAACGTTGCGTCAACTTCCAGAATCCGAACATTGCGATACTCTCTTGCGTAACACATCCGCTCATTCACATCTCAACACCCCCCACAAACCCAGAAACCACCCTGATCATACCCACCTCCGTTTAATAATTAAAATAATTAATTAATTTTTTTCACAAATGTAATAATCGTTTCGTGATCCGATCTGTGTTGTGAATTGTGTGATCCCATCGATCGATTTTTCAGAGTGGAATGGAGCTCTTCCACAAAGCCCAAACCGTTCGGCTCCGAAGCCACCACGACAAGTTCCTCTTAGCAGAAGAAGACCAAGAATCGGTCTGCCAAGATCGCCACGGCTCCATCAAGAGAGCCAAATGGACAGTCGAGTTCGTCGATGGCATCGACACCGTAATCCGATTAAAGAGCTGTTACGGCAAATACCTCACAGCCACAGACGAGCAGTACCTTCTCGGCGTGACTGGACGGAGAGTTTCTCAAACGCTTCCCAAAAAATTGGATTCGAAGGTCGAATGGGAGCCGCTTCGAGATGGGTTTCAGGTTCGCCTCAAAACGAGGTACGGAAACTACCTTCGCGCAAATGGGGGGTTACCGCCGTGGAGGAATTCGATCACGCATGATATTCCTCAGAGGCATACAGATTGGATATTGTGGGAAGTTGATGTTGTTGAGATTCGTCCTGACCCACCAACTCCATCCGATTCTGTGTCTCCCTCTCAACCCATCTCGCCTTCTTTCTATCTTAGGTCTCCCAAATCTTCTAAACTCGAGGTTCGATTCAATTACATTATCGTTGTTTTTCTTTGTATCGGAATTGTGTTTTTATTACTGTGACTATTATATGTGATTGTGTATTTCATTGGATTTTGATTGTTTGGTGTTGATCTATTCCATGTGTAGATGATTAACAAGAAACATTTGTTTGTTCAATAAGTGAATGAGAGATTAGGCTCCCAAAATCATATCAATGTTGTTTCTGTTTTGGATATTTTACATATTCACTGTAGCACAAATAGTATTGATGATATGGAATTTTAACAAGTACCCGTCTTCGATGTGATATATATATATATATATATACCGTCTTCGATGTGATATATATATATATATATATATATGTGCAGTTAAATGATTCTGGATCGCCCATGAAGTCTGAAGGCCGGATTATATACTATAGTGTTGTGGATGATGATGATGGGAAAATTGAAGAGGGTAAGGAAGAGCCTTCTTTTCATTTTAAAGGGCTTGGTTTGGAGGAATTGACTGAAAAGTTGGAGGAAGAAACAGGGTTGGAGGATGTTATTGTGTGTTTGCGCAATCCATGGAATGGAAAGCTTAGCCCACTCCGGTTAGATCTTCCTCCCAACAATACAACCATGCATATTGTTGTAGTTCCGTCTGCATCCAAAGGTTAGTTCTTTTGATTTTCTTGCTGAATTGGCATGGTTTGGCTATCTCACGTTCTGATGCTTTTAGATTTATCTTTGTTTAAAAGTTGAGATGGAGTAACTGGACCCAAAATAGGCTATTGGCCACTGAATAATGAACTTGTCAGTTCTCAAAAATATGTTCTTCTAAGGTTGGATTTCTATTTTTCTAATACGAAAACTGATGATAAGAAGGTTGCATTTAGTCAATCAACTCAATTTTTTCTAATTTCACTTTCGCATTAAAATCTACTGATGACCAGTAATTATTATTTTTCACTCGAGCACTGTTTTTTGGTGCAAAAGCTATTGCAGTTTTTAATGAATCCACTAATGTGCTCTTTGTGATATATATATATATAGAACTTTGTAGTGTAATCTATATGTGTGTAGTTATAGCTTGTATCTATGAGATGGCATATGAGAGTGAGAAATGAAGTCTATAACCTCTTCTTTTTTTTCTTTTTTTTGTAAAGAAAAGGACATACAAAGACACTCAAAGATAGCTTGGAAAAACAAAAAAGCTTCCTCTAACAAGAGGAGGTCCCAAAAACATAACCTAGGCCCTAGGTAAAAAAAAACTCTCACAACTGGGGAGGCCTAGGAAACAACCTAATTTCAAACCCATGCTTAGAATGAGATTGACTTGGCTTTGTGCTTTGTGGAAAGAGAGGGGGAAGCTTTCCCACAAGCTAATTTCAAGATATCAATCTTTTCTTCTAACCTTTTCTGGTTTTCTTCGCTTTGAGTTGGGAGGAACATCAACCTGGAAATCTATAGCCAACCATCTCATGGGGATCTTAGATTTGCTAGTAAACCACTGTCAATCTGCTTCTGCTGCAATTTTGATGCTAAAAAGATGCCCAAAAAAAAGTGTCTGTATGACAATTTCTGGTTTTAGTCTTGCCTGTTGTTTATCTACTTCTGAATCTTTGTAGTCATTATCCTCCTTTCTTTACCTTTGGTTTCATTCAGTATTGGATTATGTATTTTTATTACCCCTGTGTATTAAGACAGTTTGTGTGTTTTCTTACCAGCGGCAAGTGAATTTGCACCAGACACTTCTACTTCATGATCTGGGTTGTATAGCACCTGTGTACAATATATGCTCCAACAGTGTTCAGTACATTTGATCCCAAACCAGCTTGCACTTGCAAATAACCAGAGGAGTGAAACTTTGAGTCAATTTTGTTTCATTGATTGAACTGTGAGAGAAAGGAATGAAATCATTTTGTTGGACACAAGCTGTGACTAGTTTTGATTACCTTATATGAAGTTAGTAAGCTGCTGAGAATGGCATATTGTATTTTATTCAGAATAAAATTCTCATTTCTCTTCTTGGGTTTTTACTTCAACGTAGATAAGCAACATATGTTATTGAAAAAGTCCGTGGTGCCAAACTTATGTAGAATTTTCTGGGTGGGAGTTTGTGTGGAGATTCAATTTGTATAGTGTGGGGTCCATATGTAGAATAAATCTAAACCACAAGATAATAATTTTGGATAATTTTTGGATAGTTAAGTTTGGATTCATAGTATTGTTGTATATGATTTGGCCGTATGAAGCTGGCATTGAAGAGAAACTTGGACTGAATTCTTATTCAATTTGAGTTATTGAATACAATGAATGCACTATTATACACCTCCCTACTCTATTTATACAGGGGATTATTCTCTCTAACAAAGCTAAAAGCAACAGAAATGAAAATGAACCCTCAAAAAAATACAGTTTTAACAGAAATGCTAACAATTAACTCCAGTGTATTCCAATGATGTATATCCAGAGAAAAACTAGTTTACAGCTTCAAAAAACAGAACCTGGGGTTGTAATTTCGTTTGTTTACACAGGGCAAGAACATCATCCCAACCACCGATAAGCTGTTCAAATTTAAACATAAATTATACAAACTAAATGAAAGGAAAGATATAAGAATAAAACCTTGTAACTTAATTGAATGTACCTTCACAGTTTTATCTTCAAACAGAATCCACTTTTCATACGCACGGCTGTAAACAAAGCAGATGAAGTGTATTGGGCAATAGCAAACCTGAAAGGAAATTTGGTAATGAGATAAACTGTTCTTGTGTCCCGTTATTGATTTAGTCCAAAAACATGCATAGTGATGTCAAACTAGTATCAGTGCATTTGCTATGCTCCAGCAAAAGAATGAGAATTGAGTATCAATCAAGACATTCTTCCATGGAATAGAAAGAGAAAGGGAAAATAAATAAATAAATAAAAATTAGCTCTATCATTTTGTTAAGCCAATATTTCACAACATGAAAAATTAAAAAGTGACTTTAAATGAAGCCCATAACCAACAGAACTCGGGAAAAGTTGTTTACTAAATCCATCATGAAAAAAGGAATTAAATGAGAGAAGAGTATAAAGCAAAGGCAAAAGTTGTTTACTAAATCCATCATGAAAAAAGGAATTAAATGAGAGAAGAGTATAAAGCAAAGGCAAGTTTACCATTGAAATAAGAGAATGTTTGTTCCCTGGATCTATACCCTCATAGATTACACCAATATCTATCTCAGTTGTCAGAGCTGCCAATATTGCAGATATATTATCTACATCCTCTTTAGTACTCCAACCAAGAACTGCAATGAACAAACTAAAAACTAGTAAACAAAGAACAGAAAACATAATGAAATATTTTCAAGAACTTTTCATTTACCTGTTGTGAACACATGTGGAGGAGTTGAAAGAATATGGTGGAGATTGTTTAATTTGCCACAGCCGCCTACCTCAGAATCACAATAATGCTCATTTGCAAGTTTCAAAAGCTCATCAAAAGGGCTCTCTGCATAGTCACTCTGAGTTGGGAAAGAACAAAACTTTAAAAGCGATATCTAAAATGATTTTTTTTTTCCACTGTAACAGGAAAAATTGCTAGTTTATCATAAAATGCTTCAGAAAAAACATTCCTTTCTTTGTCTGAGTTGAGCTGCATTTATGTAGTGGAAAAATGAAGTAAACTTCATTTGTTTGGATTCAGTATTACAGTAGTGACAGTTCATCTTTTGAAATATGTCCATTCCAAAAACTGTATGTGCTATACAAGCATCACTAGCACAATCAAAAGAGCCTGTGCAACTGCTTCCTGGTGATTTAGTACTAGAAACACCAGAACCACAAGTAAATGACTGATGAAGAATGTCCAAAATAGCTAACAAAGCTTCAGAAGCATCATTCATCTGTCCCTGTAAAATCAAGCAAGTCAGTAACAAAAGTTGCATAGGAAATAGAAGTGACGTCTAAATTTAGAACTTTGGAGAAGGGTGAAAATATGATGACAAGACCATCAAAATTTGTTGGCATATTATAATCACCGAAAGTCTTAGTATTTTATTAGCCGAAAGGCTTGGGTCTGTAATAGCCGAAAGGCTTGGGTCTGTAATCATTGTGATGCCCTCAGGGATCATCTTGTAATTGACTTTGTTTGTAAACCCTAATCTTCATGTATAAATAAGGGGTGATATCTCATCATACCCTAAGCTGATTATTCAAAGCTGATTATTCAAAGCTTCAAAATTGTCAACTTACTTCCTGGAAATTACCATTGTATTTCAATTTGCTCAGAGCAATTCTTAAATTGGTAGGAGAAACAGCTGCTCCTCCCTTATTTGCAGCTTCTCTCAGGGCAGTGAAAATATCATATATTGCGCAAACAACACAAGGGTCTCCGATATGCGCGTGAACAGATTTTGATATGCTCAGAAACTCGCCTCTAAATGTTCTTAAATGCCAGAGAGACTGTATATTCATGGAAAGGTTGAAAATGAATTCATTATCATATTTTGGCTAATGGGGGGGGGATAGAAAAGAAAATTTATACCGGGACCCCCAAAAAAAAGAAAGCTCATTGAACAGAACACCAACCTGTACAATCACGTTTAAAAAGCAATTGTTTTCACCATCATTTATCAGTCCCGGCCCTAATGTATCTGGAAGATCCTTATGTGCTTGTAATGTCCCTGAAAATTGTGGACAAACCAGAAGTCAGGCCCTCCATAGTTTTCAACTACTTGGGTAAATGAATAAATAAAATTTTAACAGTCCGTAATCTCCTTCAACTTGCTCTCAATATGCCAGGCTTATATTTGCTCATTTTTATTTCAAGAAGAATATGGAACACTGAATTCAATATTTGCTTTTATTTTACTTCAGCAATTTTTTTTTTTGTTAATTATTCAGAGTATCTTTCCTAGGAGCAAATTTTCCCACCTATGACAGATCAAAACACACTACAAAACACAAGCACTTGCCTGTAAATGCCCCATTTTATCTATATCTTAATATGTATGTATGCCATAATGGCAGTAAAACAACCACAGATAGTAAACAATGACGAATATATGTAGTACATAACGAGTCACTTTTTAAGAAGGCATAAAGCCCTTGTACTGCTGCATATTTCTTTGGGAATATAACCATCCAAACAAGTCCCGGACATTTGCACATGTCCCTGTCAACATGTATAGCATGCCAATTTTATTTTATTTTATTTCAAGCTTACTTTCCTCCTTTTATTTCAAGCTTACTTTCCTCCACTTCATGCTCAAGTTCCTCTCCGTGTAGCCCCAATTCATAAGCTCTTACAGCAACAACAATCTCAGAACTCGGAGAATCACCATCGTAGCCCACAGGAAAGTGACTGGAGGAAGACAAAGGTCAAAACCCAGTTAAATTCAACATGTGCATTAGAGTTAATAGCAGAAAAAAATCTGTGGTATTTAAATAATTTTCTACAGTGCTATCGGCAGCTGAGAGCCAATTGAGGACTTACACTTGTTCTTCAGTTTCCTCTTGCAGCACATATAGCTCATCACCTTGAGTTACCTGCAATGCTATGAGTATTAGACTAAACTTGTACGAAACATGTAAGACAAACATGACAGCAACCTGTATGGTAAAAAACACAACCAGAGTCTAAAGTTAAAAACCTTTGGGTCCTTTTTTCTCTGATTTTTTTTCTGTTTCTTGGACTTCAATTTTTTCTGTGGAAGTTTTGTATCAGTGCCTGCTTTGCTAATATTATTCTCGTCTTCCAGTGCAATCTCTGCTAAAAGTGCTTCTCCTACAGCATCTGCCTTCTGCTTTGCGTCCTCGTCAACCAAAGCCTCAAATTGCTCCTGGAATAGAAAAATTCTGACAAATTTAAACTCAGATCCAAGGAAGTTGGATAACATTGCAGAGAATTATGCAGTGTAAACAAATCAAACCAGCATGAATGACAATGATGAACCGATAGTCATGCATAGGTGCCTGCATAAATTTTACCCCTTGCGGCCGTGTAACATTAAGAATCCTCATGACCAATCTTTGAAGTCTGCTAAACTGCAGTGCAGGATTGAGCATAATGAGCACAGGAATATATATATCACAAAACTTTACTCGAGAAAAATCAAAACTCAGGAATCATGCCTGAGAAATATGCAATATAAACAAGTTGAATAAGGAAAATATTAGGAATCACAGTATATAGTATATTAGTTCCAGATTGGTAAAAACAATGCAAGTTGTAATAGAGAAAAGAAGCATTAATTGATACTCCTGAACTATTCATAAGATTGGATAGTTGCAAAGCATTTGAACCAGTGATTGATATATGATCAACTATCTAACCTTGATAAGGTAAGGTATACCAGATTTTCACAATATGGAAAGTTCATTATATCTAGAGTCAAATCTAAGGCTTATTTGCCTCTGGCTTGAAGGCCCAAACTAACATAGCTACCTCTGCAGATGGTCCCTTCCTAAATTGTCTCGTGATTGCCAATGTAATGCAAGCATCTTCTTGATGCACGTGGTCACTACTTTTCAAAGAACTTTTGCCAGTCAGAACAGCCTCCAATTGGGAGTGCTCAACATTTAGAGTTTGAGCATCTATAAGTATGCTCAATATAGCATCAAACTCAAATCTACTGCTCTGGGACATGGCATCATTGTTTGCCCCGTTAAGTTCTCCTTGCCGTCTCCTCAAGAGGGATGCATAACTTTGCTGGATATGCATTGTAACTTGCGTCCTCTTCTTAAGCTCCTCAATACAGATGCTCTCAACTGCCAGTAATGCTTGCTTTTCATTCTCTAGTTCACTTTTCCTTCTTCTCCATGTTTCTATCAGACAAAATTCATTCTCAATTTGCTGAATAACTTTCACTACTTGATGCTTCATAGCTTTTTGTATATCTGTCCATGATTTTAAAGCTTCTCCAATTGAAGGACCAAAAAGCCAAGGTACTAAAGCATCACTACCTGGAAGCACATCAACTTCTTCGTAATGAATGGTACAAGTTGCTGCAGAAACATCATCTGCAACTGCATCCCCATTTGCAGGTGACTTAATCTCCCCTTGCAGTAAACGTTCATCCATAAGGAGACACGATGAGTCACCATTAAAAACAATCCTTTCCTTAATTTCAATTTCCTCGATCTTATACTCATCAAGTACATCATCTGAGGAACTACCCTTGTAAGGGTTCTTGTTTAAGCCACAAAGATAGGACACAAGGTGCAAGAATTGAAGGATTTTTTTTAACTTGGAAACCTCCAAAAAACAGATGCAGAGAGGTGTTTGGTGCAGGCCATGAATGTGAATCTGCGATAATGGAACAAAATTACGCAGTTCATCCATGGCATCCTCTATCACCTTTTCAAGATTACTCTTAGAAAGACAATTGCTTCTAAGAAGCAATAGGAACACATCATGAATTCTTTCAAGAATTTTCGCACGCTCAACATTATTAGATAGTGGCCACTTCTGATCATTCGGGCAGGCCAGAGGCTGCAAATTCGCATCAGAGTCACCAACAAGATCAGCCGATTGCCTCTTTGATTGTTCTTCAATAATTTTCTGAGCTCCAGGGATATCCACTGGTTTCCATGTACCATTGACAAGCATGCGGGCCCAATTGGCATCGACTTCTTGTGGATCAACATATCGTAACTTTGATTTCTTGTGCTCCTGCTCAATATGCTGCATTCGCAAATTTGAATCATTGAACTTCTCATCACAAAAGCAACAGGGCCAGAACTTCCAAGTCTTGTGTTTTTGAGCAAACCCTATAGCTTCTGAGAATGTTCTTGCGGCTAAACCATCCTTGATTGAACCAAAATGTTCTCTCAAATCGCAAATTCTGAGTACAAGAAATCCCCGCCTTTTCTCAACACTCATAGAGTTCCAATATGATAGACGCTGATACATTCTCATCACTTTTGACGTAAACATCTTCCGTGCAGCATCCTTCATTCGTTTTGGCACTTTGTTCTTCTTTGCATTCACATCATCATCATCATCGTCATCATCATCTTCAGAATCTGATTCTTGCTCCGAAAGCGTTGCTGCAGCCACTGGATCGTTGATTTCAAGATTCTCCTCAGGCGTCTGGATTGCCTTTTGAATTTCAAGATTCTCTGTAGAAGGCGGTGAAGAAGCAATTACACATTTCTGTACAGTCGACTGCAATGCTTGCCGCAGATATCCAATTCGATCTTCAACCGTGTCTAAATGGATATCTGTTAGGTATGGAGCCTGTGACCCAATTGATTTATTAAAAGAGTTTTAATTTGACTTGATTTAGGTATAATATATTTTTATATATTATATTTGAGAAAATTCAATTTAATTTGGATACAATTAGATTTGATTACAAAATCCTAAATTCACAATATATACATATATATTGTTTATGTGTTTTTTTGCTCCGTGGAAGTTGCGAAGAAAAAGTGGCAGCAAATACATCTTTTCCTTGGTGAAATAATACTTGGGTGGAATAGTGTGGCTGCCAATTGATTTATCTTGGTGAGATAATGTGTTGCGGCTGATTGAGAGCAATTTAGTGGAGTCAAACGTTTGGGTCAGTTCTGCTTCGTGTGGTTCGGCTTTCGGTTCTATTTTGATTTGTTATTTTGGATCTTCTTCAACTCTGATTCAGAAGTTTTTGGTTCATCTATTTGGTGAGGTCTTTCCTCTTTGTTTATTTGTGATTATTTGGAATTCACCTAAGGGTGGTTTTGTGAGACCATTAGTGTCTCGTTTGTAATCGTTTGGAACTTATTTGGTTGATAGTGGAATCGGATTTCGATCCCGTGGACGTACCTCACATTGAGGGAACCACGTAAAAATTCTTGTGTTGCCTTTGATTTAATTTTTCCGCATTAGTTTTTATTCCCATTGATTGATTTACTTGTGGGGAATCATCATTTTTCTCTAACAATATCATCGTGGAAACTTTCATTGGCAGGGTCGATTGGATCATCAATCGACAACGCTCGCTCACACTCTCTCACTATCTCTTCATAGCCTTGGCCATCAATCGACGCATTGTAGAGTAGAGTCACGAGGAAATTCGCGAATTCTAAGGAGTTAGGCGATAAAGAAACCGCACGTCGAGCGGAATCGAGAGCGTTTTTCAAGTACCGTTGTTTGGCGACATTGTTGGCGATTAGAGAAGCTACTTCAACTTGTACATAACCAGCAGCGCGATATACGAGAGCACAGTTTTTGTAGCGAACACAAGCATCTTTCATGATCCGTAGAGCTTTGGCGTGGTTTCTGCGGCCGAGAGCAGTGCGCGCGCGATCATATTCGAATTTTACAGAATCGCAATCGGAGGGAGCGAGTGGTTCGATCTTGCTCTGTTCTTAAGGGAGATTGACATTCGGTGGTGGTTTAGAGCGCGGAGGAAGGTTTCGCTTCTTACGCCCCATTGGAAGATTCAAACTGAACTGAAAAGAATTGAATACGGAGAGAGAGAGAGAGAGAGAGAGTTTGATAATGTTATTGTGGATGTTCGTTCTTGAAACGAGTTTGGCGTAGACGAAGATGTAAACACAGCTAGTCGGTTATCTTTCGCGCTACTGAGGTGGAACATTCGAGGGGGAAAGGTATAAATTTGAAAAAAGAAAAATTATAAATATTTAATTTTGTTTTAGGAAAGAGTAATGTTGGGGATTACGAAGAAAATATCATAAAGATGGTTATGAAAGATTCTTCACATTTGGATTACACATATAATAAAACACTATACTCTAATCAAATGATGAGAAATCTTCGCGATGCATTTCATGTTATTTTTTTCATGATCCCTTTTTGATGAGTCCATTTGTAACCAACAATTTTTAGATTTTTAATAGTTTCATTTTTCAACTGAATATATAGGGATTTTTTTTTAGGGTCCATGGTATTAAAATATTATAACATAAAAGATATTTTATATTCTCATAATGTCTAAGGTTCCTCAAATCGATCCAAAGAATTTTTGTAGACTTCCTAGAGAAATTCTCTCCAAATAAATTGACTTCCTAGAGAAATTCTTTTCAAACCAGATAAAATCGCCTCATTACGTACAGAGAATTACTTTGGATTCAAACTAGAGAAATTCAGAGAAAATTGAAACTTCTTTGGCTTTGTTCAAAAAAATTAAAGGTTGTGTTTGGAAGTGTTTTGAAATTATAGTTCCACCTTTATACTCTAGTATGATGTTTGGTTCGAGTTTTGGAAAGTTAATTCCACCTCTTGTTTTGAAAACTCGTTCCAGACAAGCTTTTAAATTTTGAAATTTGGCTTACCGGATGTCCGGCCAGTTGACCTCTATAGTGCCATTTTTTTTTTTTTCACTTGTGTGTTTTTTTAATATTTTTAATAAAACAATGTTTTTGGAATTTTTTAAAAAAATTTATGAGGTTTTAATAGATTTTTAAGTTATATATTTGGTTATGAGTAGTAAATTTTTGTATCAGATATCATATGTCACATCAAAAATTCTCTACTCAATTCAAAACTCATTCACCAAACAAATTTTCTACACTCAAATCATAATTCCAAAACTCATAAACTCAAAATACAACTCATATTCTCAAATCATAATTAGAAAACTATACCAAACGCAACCAAAAATTCTCTGACTTCGTTCACAAAGAATGTTTCTGGCTTTTTGTGAAGAAAGCCTCTGTCTTAGCTTATTCAACAATTCTACTCCAAAATTTATACCTATCAAAACAATTCAACAATTCACACAATAAACAATAGATAGTGAAATTCTCACCAATATTGTAGAAAAGTACAAATCCAAACACCAATCTCAATCCAAACTCCAATTTCTTTTGATTTCAATTTGATTTGATTTTCTTTGATTTTAATGGTGATGGAAGATAGCGAGAGTTGCGGTAGTAGAGTTGTGGATTCGTCAACAAGACAGACAAAGACTCAAAGTCTTTAAAGAAGTCGTCACTCGACTTCAACACTTGAATCACCAAGATGCCAATCTCCCTAGCGAAGGAGTTGGGCGAGGAGAGAGGGGTTAGAGGCGAAGGAGAGGAGAGAGTGGCCCCAAGGAGAGAGGTCAAGATGGGAGATGGATCGAAAACAGGTGGAGAGGTTGAAAAGGTCGCGGACGTTGCCGCGAAGGGTGAGGTGGGTGCGTGTGGCGCGTTGGAGGAGAAGCCATTTTCGGCAAACGAGGGCGGTGGAGTTGTGGCTGCAGGTGTCAGAGATAGCGGCAATTATGTTTGAGAGGATTACATCCAGGAGGTCGGTCATGGCGGTGGAGGCAGAAGCAAAGGCGGCGGCCATAAAAATGAGTGAAGTGAGGTTTGGATTTAGAAAGAGAGAGAGAGAGAGAGATGAAATAGAGAAGGGAAAGGGTGATGGAGAGGGGCATTTCCCTAAATAAGCCAAAATAATAAGGGAATTCCCAAACTAAGCCTAATTTTGAAAGACTTCCTAAAATGAGCTAACTCGCGGTTCACAATCGCGAGTTCAACACTTTTCCACCCCTATCGCGCGAAACCTGCCAAATTTGAAACTCGCTGTTACAAAAAGCGAGTTTAATTAAGAACTCGCTGTTAGAAAACGCGAGTTCGATTAATTTTTTTTCTTTTGAACTCGCTTTTCACAAGCATGATTTTAGCCCACGCTGAACTCGCTTTTTGAAAGCACGAGTTTAGCAGAAAGGATTTTTGTTCTGAATTCGCTGTTTGTAAGCACGAGTTTATCAAAAAAATTTCTAATGAACTCGCTCTTTGTAACCACGAGTTCATCAAAACCCACGTTTTATGAAGAAAAAAAATTTCTTCTACCACGGTATTTTGCCAAATTTTTTTATAAACCGCGCTTTTAGCGTAATTTTTTTTTTTTAATTTCAATTTTACTGAACTTTAAAGAAAAAATTTTCGGTCTTTTGTTTATGTTGTCATTGTTTTGGTGATAATATATTTCAGAATAATTTTTTTGGTTAAAATTCTTTTACTAAAACCGTTCTCATATTAATTTTTTTTTCGTTCCTTTTGTCTTTATTTTGGGTTAGAAGGTGATAATGTAATTCATAAATTTCTTTTCACTTTACTAAAGCCATTTTCATGTAAAGTTTTATATTTTTATTTTTTTCTCTTGTCTTTGTTTTGGGTTAGAATGTGTTATTTAGAATTTTGTTTTGGCTTTACTAAAGCCGTTTTCATGTAAATAATATATATTTTTTTCTGTTGTCGTTGTTTTGGGTTAGAAGCTGATAATGTAATTCATAAATTTCTTATCGCTTTACCAAAGTCGTTTTCATGTAAACTTTGTTATTTTTTATTTTTTTTCTCTTGTCTTTGTTTTGGGTTAGAATGTGTTATTCAGAAATTAGTTTTGGCTTTACTAAAGCCGTTTTCATTTAAATAATATTTTTTTTTCTTTGTCTTTGTTTTGGGATAATGTAATTCATAAATTTCTTTGGACTAAACTAAAACCGTTTTTATGTAAACTTTGATATTTTTTATTTTTTTCTCTTCTCTTTGTTTTGGGTTAGAATGTGTTATTCAGAAATTAGTTTTGGCTTTACTAAAGCCGTTTTCATTTAAATAATTTTTTTTTTTCTGTTGTCTTTGTTTTAGGTTAGAAGCTGATAATGTAATTCAGAAAACCTTGAGGAAAAAACACATAAGTCTCCCACAAAAATACATAAGTAGTACAAACATAAGTCTCGAACAACAATACATTGTGGACACCATGAACTGAACACACAATACATAGATAAACATAACAGTTAGACAGACAAATATTAGCCAGACAATCTGACCAACTCATTACGGAAACACTTACTCTAACACAGACATTACATATTAATGCATGACCTAATATTGCCGAAGTGTAGACATTAACACCTAATTCGCGCTTAAATCGGTAGGTGGCTCAGAGTCTGAACAATCCGAAAGCTCAGCATCAGAGACAAGCTGAGGATCCTCCATGATACCCTTGATAGCCGCATCATTTGGTTCTGTTTTGTTCTTCTGGGCATCCTTCTTAACTATGTATAGCTGCATATCGCGGGCTAACCTACGGCCCATTTGAGAAATCTCACGTTGTAGTCTTTCACATAGTCGATCAACATTATCAGGATCTTCCTTTTGGATCTCAACAGAACGTGCTTTTGGCACCTTCAATCGATTTTCCCGACATAATCTTTCCATTTGGACTCGCTCTATAAATAGTGCGGGCCACTTCAGAAGTCTAGCATTTGCTAAACCATATCCTGTTTGATT